GGATGCGCTGCCTGGCTCCGAGCACCACCCTGTGGCAGGAGCCCAGACCCCCGTGCTGAGGAACAGGTGGCACCAAAACAGAAACGTAACTTGTTCTTCATCTAGGCTCGAGTATACTGGGGGTTTTCAAACTTTATCAAATGATTGCACTTCTCCACCTTGTATACTGTTAGATAGAAAGAATTGGTGTATATTTTTGTTTGTGTGTGTAGTGGAATCTCTTTATTTCTGGCCTTTGGGTCTGCTGTATTAATGATTTTTTGAGTTAGCAATTTATGCAGAGCACAATAGGGGGTTGCTAGAGCTGTATTATTTAACCATTTCCTGAAATGCTGCTTGCAATGACTGAATACTACTGAAATGAAAAACGGAGCAACATCTAAACTCTTGTCTTACGGGAAGAAATTTATTTTAAGGCTCACTTTCCTCTGTGTATGTTTAAAAATTACTTATAAACTGCTTGATGATAGGTTTTGGAAGGGCAGCCAGCAGGAACACTTATTACCACTGTCTTTGCAAAAGACTTGGATTCTGGAAACAACGGTGTGGTATTGTATTCCATAGAATCAGGTAAGAATTCAAAGTGTTATTTGTAAGAAAAGTTACATTGAAATAACTAGAGTTTAGGAGGTACCATGTATACTTGCATAATTTTATGTCTGTTTTGTGCATAACTAGGAATCAGGAGCATTATATTTCTTATGAAGTGTATGAGGAGGTGCAAGCAGCTACCTTTCCTCCCTTCCCCTTCTGCCCCATCTTCCCAGGGGTGTGGTTGCTTGTGAAGCCAGCCAGAGACCATTCAAACAAGCACTCAGAAAAGATTAGGACCATGATCTTGTACTGCACAGCTTAGTGTTTTAGTCAGTGGTTTAGCATCTTAAAGGAAAGATGATCTCTCTTTTCCCATGACCAATTGAAGATTTTCCTGCTAAAAGAAGGGTTAATGACAGTCTGGGACAGGGATCAGAAGGATCAGCAGATCATTTGGGCAAACAAAGAGGCTTGTGGTTTTTAGTTCATGTTTCACCCTTTGTTTAGCACTACATTAGCCTGACATAGTGTGCTGCTTAAAAACAGTCATTTTCCTACATATAGAAGTTCACTTCTGGGGTATGCTGTAGGATCCAGTGTTGTTTGCAGTGAAGTCAGTAACAGAGCAGACCTAAATTTTAAAGCATGAGTGGCTTTGGGACATCAATGCTGATAAGACACATAAAAGTGGTCTCCGTTTTTGCCACTTGCTACACTTTTACATAAGAGTAGCCAATGAGGAAGACATGTCTTTTCCTCCTGCTTTGCTTCACTATTGGTTCAAAACAGTGAGAGGTGCCAAGAGCAGAACTATTTGTTTTATTTTGCACCTACTCTGTTCTGCCACCTTAATTTAATCAGTACCTTTAACCTTGGTATTTGTAGCCCATGGTAATTTGCACATAAAGCATACTCTTTCATCAGAGCAAGAAAATATTTCCAATATTTCTACCCACTCAGTGCGTTTCCTCAGGTGTTTTTTTCTTTGTAGGCAGAGCTCAGATGTAGGCTCAGTTAGTTTAAAGTCATTACAATTATTTGCCACTGCACAGTAAAAAACTAAATACTGCAAAGCTACATTACTCCTCACTCTTAAAGAGCAAGGGGATCTGTAGCCTACCCTTGTCAAGGCTGAAATTACCAAAAGATTACCCTAGGTTTTGTTATACTGTGTCTTTATTTACCCTTTTGACTTCTGGGGGGTGACGGACGGACTTTTGAGATCCAGATCTGCAAGGGCCAGAGAACTAATTCCTCTCTCTCCCACCAGAGATGCTAAAAAAAATAGCAAACCTGAGATGTTTAACAACTTTCTTAAAAATTTTGCTGTTGAAATATATGTAGATAATAAAAGACTGTACAGTCAGTTTATGGCCATACTTTTATTGCCTTAATTTGGATACAAGTGACTGCCTCCAGAGGGAATCAGAGAGAATTGTGGACTTCTGCAATGTGGATTATAATATTTTGCATTAAATGATCCCTCTTAAGAAAAATGGAATTAATAGTACCCAACCCTTTGTTTGAATGGTGATTGCCAGGCAACACAGGAAGTATTCTTCAGGGGTCTCTGCCTGTATATCTAACTATAGCCCCTTCTTCAAATAGCACATTGGATTTTCTTACTGGCTTCACTCTAGTGCCCCAGAGGGGAGTAAAAAAAGTTCAAATTATAAAAATTACTAGCAACACAAAATATGACTGGTCTTGCAAATGCTGTCTCTAGAAAGAAAGAAAGGATAAAAACAGCAGAAAAAAACAAAAAAACACAAAACAAACAAAAAAAAAACAACAACACTGAAAGAGCCTTTCCAGCCTTGGAAGTAGATATTTTCCTGATAAATCCAGAAACAGCCAAGCTTTTCTGATACTAATTTTTGTTGTTAGTTGGCTCACAGCCTTTAACATCTGGTCTGCTGTTTCATGGTGAAGTTCTTGCCTGGTTTATATTTAAAATAGTATTTTCTAGTTCTGGGACATTGTTCAGTACTAAAATATGGAGGAGAAATATGATCTGATTTACAGCCATATTTGTTAAACACAAAGACATCAGGTTAATTGGAGGACTGCATGCAGACATGCTCTTTTCAGCGTTTGACAAGATTAAGAGCTATGAGTGTCAGTGTCAGCTATTCAACTTCTAAGAGTCACTGGGTAATTTTAATTTTTAATGTTCTTGAGACCTTAGAGAAATGCCAGAATAGCAACAAGAGATTAAGCTGTGCAGAAGGCCTAATGACAAATGCTAACAAATTGTGTGATGAAAAATCTGTAAAAGAACCATGATGTTTACACAACAGATGAATCTTAGCCTTCAGAGAAGTGTTTTCTTCAAAATGCCTCTCCTCCTTTCAAGAAAATCAGAACAAATAATCCTTAAATGTTTATGTGTATGTAAATGTGTGATCATATGGCCACACGTCTGCTTTTGGGTTATCACTGAAGAAGTAACCCAGTTGAGAAAGAGGTGAATCTCCGGTATGGGTACTCTTCCTTAGTGATGCTGGCAATTGTCAAGTGATTTGCCTGGCCTTCTTTACAACTGTCAATAGCTCATAGTATAGCATTTATAGCAAAAATTAGTCTCTATTTATAGTGCATCATAAATTATTGCTTTGTGTGTTAAGGCTAGTACTGGCACAGTAGAAGCTTTTACAGTTACATTTGGACTAGTTCTGTGGATACATTAGCACTTGGCCAGCAGAATGCTAGGAGAAGACCAGTTTGCACTGCTAACACACACGAATTGGTGAGTGTTGTACATATTCCTGAGAGAAGTAAAAAGCTAGTACTTGTTCTCCAGGGTAATTTGATTAGATAATGCAGAGGTATAAAACTTAATTGAAAAATTATACCAGTTTTTTGGCAGACTAAGGTAGAATTACAAGCACAAGAAGAGACTGGGGCCATTGGAGTCTAGTCAGAAAGAGATTTTTTTTTCTGTTCTGTGCTTCGTCTGCAATTCTCAATTTCCTTCTTATCCATTTCTCTTACAGTTTCTTTCTTTTCTGTTTGTACAGATAGGGACATCTTTAGAGTGTATGATAGCCACAGTTCCCTAATTCAGGTGACAGAGAGAGGTGAAGGCTGAGCAGATGTTTCTGGAAGAACAGGGAGCATGAGCTTTTTGAGGAATGACTGTCATGCTCTTTGATTGTAAATCTTAAAACCACCTTTCTCCTCATTCCTCACTTCCAAAACAATGAGGAGAAGGGTTTGGAGCAAATTTAGTCTTGCCTTTGCTGATCTTGGTCAAAACTATTCAGATGTGTTCTTTCTCTTCTCTTAGTAAGTGTCACACAGTTGAAAATCAAGGTTTGTGTTTAAGCAGGCTTCTGAAATTCAGAAGTTGAGAAAATTGCTTTTGCTACAAAATGTATAGAATCATAGAAGGGTTTGGACTGGAAGAGATCTTAAACCTGTAGTAAAAGTTTGATTAGTCTGCAGATTATGGGAATTCCATATCATAAGGGTTTTTTTCCTTGATTTCTTTTTTTCTGATTTGGAATAAAATGGCTACACTTTGAAATTGTTCATTAATAGATTAAAAAATACACTGATAAAAATACCAGAAAAATGGAAATAAGATGTTTCATTTTTTACTATCTCTATAGTGCAGTCTCAGATAAAAAAAGATGAAAATGAGAAACACTTTCAAAATGGAAGTCCCAGGAGATTCTGGGTATTTTACAATATATTTTTCCAGCATTATCAGACTCTTCTGTTACTTTTATTGCTACCAAAATATGTGCAAAACTGACTGTTTCATGCAGTATTTGGATTTTAGTGGAATTGCAGTCTCTAGTGAATAACACTATTGGTAATTTATTTTCTGACCATCTCGCTCTAATTTGTTGAGAAAACGTAGATTCATAGAATCATAGAATCCTAGGGGTTGGAAGGGACCTCGAAAGATCATCTAGTCTAACCCGCCTGCCAGAGCAGGGTCACCTAGAGCACATCACACGGGAACGTGTCCAGGTGGGTTTTGAATGTCTCCAGTGAAGGAGACTCCACGACCTCCCTGGGCAGCCTGTTCCAGGGTTCTGTCACTCTTACAGTAAAAAAATTCTGACCGCTCCTTTCTCCTGTGAAATAAACTTCAACTTTTTAGAAGCTCTGCAGACTCAAACCTGTTTTGGTTGAGCTTAACTATCTAAGTTCTGCTATTTGAAACACGGAAACAAATAATTGGTCTTTATGCCAAGAGGTACTGACTATCCTCATCACTGCTGAAGCAAGGGTGAATCCTCATGGCTCCTGCTCAGATTGCAGTTATGTACTTACAATATTCTTTGTTCTCTGATTCCTTTTGTTGTTTATTTTAAACTGTTTTTTATCTTTGTTCAGTTTGGTATCTGCAGCTTCATTTTGGTAGAAAACTGGAGGGAATAGTACTTGAGCACTTGTGTTTACTGTTTTCTTTTTCTTGTTAGTTCTGCCTATCAGTTATTTTAAATGTCAGTTTAGCAGAATGTTAAAAATATACACATGCAATTCACATTATGTGTTCTGTTTTTCATACCTCCTCTGCCTTTTGCTTAGCTGGGACTTTTCGTCATGAAACATTATATGGAAAAAAAATAACATATCTGTGAACCTAGACATACACTGTTGGGACTTGAATCAGGAAAGTAACCAAAAGCTGTTTATGAAAACAGTAATATAGCAGCATTAATATTTTGAATCTATCATGAAAAATGCAGACTGTAGGACTGTCTCATTCAATGTAATTGTCTTTACATACTGTTTCCTTCAGTTGGCAATTTCCTCATTACGTTCCAGACTGCAAGAGTCAACCCAGAAGGGACTCATGGAGCATTCAATCAAAAAGTAGAAGAACAATATTAGGAAAAAAATAATATTTGTTGATTGTGAAAATGCTGTTTCAAGCTAACCTGCTCAGTGTTTTTTTCAAATTCTACAGGCTCAGATTTTTAACAGTTACAGGCAAGGTGATTGACTACAAAAAAGAACATTTATATGTGCAGCTAACTAGTTTGTGTGTTCATATTTGGAGAACATAAACAGCTTCATGCTCACTTAGGTGCCTGTGGAAATATAGTTCTTTATGTGTGTTTTGTGTACTGCATCTGGTCTGAATATGTTTTTACCACAGTTACTTATTAGAATAGCAGCTGTTATGCTGCATGACTTAGTTTAACCCACTAGCACACCTTATTAAGAATTCAGATAGCAAGAAGTTTTTCCATAATATTTTAAGAGAGAAGTAGTAATGACAAATTTGATTTTCTCGGTTTCTGGTAAGGTTTACCTTACCTGGTAAGGTTTAGATACTTTCCTGCTTTACAAGAAATAGGAGAGTAATTTGTATTACATTTCTTGAAAATGGAGGAGGTGAGTGTTTGTCTCTTTTCCCAAGTAAGAAGTGATAGGATGAGAGAAAACAGCCTCAAGTTCTGCCAGGGGAGGTTTACATTGGAGTAATAGGATGACTTTCTTTGCTGAAAGTGTTGACAAGCACTGGAACAGGCTGCCCAGGGCAATGGTTGAGTTGCCATCCTCATATTTAAAAGTATTTAAAAGATGTGTAGATGTGGCGTTTAGGGACATGGTTTAGTAATGGACTTAATAGTGTTAGGTTAACAATTGGACTTGATCTTAAGGATCTTTCCAACCTGAATTATTCTATGATTCTAAGTCACAAATACTTACTATTCTATGGTAGAATTTTTCTTTGAAAGTCCAGAATAAATGTAGTATGATGTAGCTGCAAGTAGTAACTTTAAATAGAAGTTGCTTGTTATTAGCATGCAGCCAGTCCTTGACGAAGGATGTTAGCATCATTTCCAATATTCACATGTTGCTCTGCAACATTTCCTGTAAGGTTATAGCTGCCCCCAGTTAACTCCTGGCTCAGAGCAGAGGCAGAGCAGGCTGCATTACTGCAGTTACGATGCCCTAGACATAGATCGGGCTCTTTGCTGACCTGTATTCTGCAAGGGACACAAGCCAACTTTCTATCCAGCATTGCTTACTTGACCCTTCATGCCAGTTCAGAGACTAAGATGTAGTTCTTTCCATGGCCCTGTCTGCCAACTTCTGTGGAAAGAGGAGAGCTGATCCTGGGGTGTCAGCTGCTCTCCTGATGCATGTGCCACTGGTGTAAATAACACTGGTACAAAACTGAGCAGTTGCTTTAGTACTCTGTAGGATTTATTTCTGTAGCTTTCTAAATCCAGAGTAATTGTTTTATTATAACTATATACTCAAGGAAAAGGAAGAAGAGGTCAGAGATCCAAACTGGTGTAGTAGGTTCCCTTATGTCTGGGTCCTGCTCTTTCTGTTAATTACAACGCTCAGTAGTATGGAGGCAAGCTGAAGAGATCTGCAGTAACTTGTATCCATTTTTTCCCTGTAGAAGAGGATATCGGATACTTCCAGATTGATGCTGTCAGTGGGGAGCTAAGAACAACCCAGTCTCTGTCATATGCTGGCAGATCAGACTACAGAATGATGGTCACAGCCAGGGACATGGGGATGCCTTCACTTCAAGGACATGCTGCTGTTTACATCCAGGTACTTTTTTATGTTGATAGACCAGGTATACTAGATACTTAATTTCTTTCAAAAAACAATTTTAGGCAAGCTAGGGAAATAAGCTGATGAAAGGAAGAAGCTCAAAATTATATGCACTTTCTGTCATAGTAGTTTTCTTTAACCATTTTTCTGGTGAGAGAGGAAATGAGAGGGCAGACTTATTTTGATTTTTTTAAAGAACACATAATAGCATTCTGGGTTGTCTTGCAAGTAGGTGATGTTTGTGCTGTAGCAGGAGGTCATTATGAACACTAGAAAAGAAAAGGAAAATATCCAGGTAAGGAGAATGAAAACCAAATATCAAGACGGTCTGAAAGTGGGGAAGAGAGTAGATATTTTTTTCTCTACTATGTTACTCTCTTTTATAAATTCTGTCTCTGTAACGCAGTATAGGGTTAGTTCCTTCCTTCGTGCTGATTTATGTGAGGCTGGTCTGCACGGGAGCGCGAAATCCAGCATGTGCTGTTTCCACAATCAGCCACCTGCTGTTCATCGAGCTGCAGAGAGGCTGCTTTGTCAAGGCTGCCTGTGCACATTTTTATCAGAGGTTGGATGTCACAGAGATTGCTATTTTCGTGTCATCCAAAAGGTGTTTAATTTTTAATAGCTTGGGAAAAAATGCTTCAGTCTGGGCAAGGCAAACAATTAAAGACATTCTTTCATTTTAAAGCATTCACTTGAAACACTGCAGCAATCCATAATGAATGAAACACTGTAATGATATAAACAACCCTCAAAAAACCCCACCTTGGTTGGGTTTTTTGTTTTTTGGTGGTGTTCTGTTTTTTTTGCAAACTGCATAATGTATGGTGCGTTCTTAGTCACATTTGTCCCTGTAATGCTGTCCTGCCTAGAAAGACAGTTGAAGCTTCAGAGCAGGGGCAGAAATAGCAGTATTTGAGTCATAGGTCTTTGGACTCCTGTGATTCAGACTGTGAGAGACAATCTTGTCCCTTTTTTTAATGCAGGACTGAAAAGACTATTTGGACTCTTAGCATGTTGAGTTTGTTTCCTGGTTTTGGGGCATACTTAGGCTAAATATAGTCACAAATAATACATTATTAAACTGTCAAAGAAAATAGTTTTCAATACACTGTTCATAATAACAATGGAAAAATATTGCAGTCTTTTTGCTTTTCTTGCAGGTAATCCCGTGTGCCAGTGGGAGATCTGCCTTCTGTCAAGATTTTAAGCACTATGTTGTACCTGAAAATTTTAAGCCTGCACAAGTGTTGAATTCTCTGAAGTGGCCTGATACTTATCTCACAACTAATAGGAAACTGCATTTCAGTATCGCTAAAGATGATGGTGATGCTCATTTTGAAATAGATAGCTTGACAGGGGACCTTTTTCTTTCCAAGGAACTTGACTATGAAACAGCTTCACACTTCCTCTTGCAAGTTATTGTAAAGGATTATAATAATAATCCTCCAGAGAATAAAACTGTCCTCCTGAGTATCGATGTAGAAGATAAAAATGACCATTCTCCTTATTTTCAAGATGACTTCATAGTGATTGGCATAGAGGAAAATTTACCTATGGGCACTCTGGTTTACACATTCAATGCAAAAGATGGAGATGGCAGTTTTCTGAACAGCAAGATAGAGTACTCCATGGAAATTATTAACATGGTTGAAAATCCATTTCTTATTCACCCTGTATATGGCACCTTGACCACAGCATTTCCCCTGGACAGGGAGATGACTCGCTCGGTGATCCTTACAGTGTCTGCAGCAGACCAGGCAATAAATGTGACTGATCACAGACTTGATTCCCTTACTGTGAAGATTGTTATTTTAGATGTCAATGACAACAGTCCTAGTTTTACGTCTTCACCTCGTTCCTATGTCATGGAAGACGCAGCGGTGGGCTTCCTTGTGCACTGCATAACTGCACAGGATCCTGATGAGGGAAGAAATGGACAAGTTACTTACCACGTTCTTTCAGGCAATGACAACAAAGCGTTTGTATTGGATAAACTCACAGGTATGGTAACTTCTGGCCTCTGGAGTTTCCTGTTACTGTGCTTCTCACAGTAACATTTGGAAGGGCATACGGTGCAATACTGAGATACCACATTACTATGGTACTCTACCCGGTGTCTTACTGTCCTCAGGATGATTACACTGGGTAGAGCACCACAGGAGCATGGCAGGACTACGTGCAGTAGTCAAGGCTGGTGAGACTCAGTTCAAAAATTTCAACATAACTGTCATACTGTGCCATGTTCTGGAGTACCTTCCAGTAGTGCATTAAGGAACGTGGGGAGAAGGTGTGTGCAGTGAAATACTTCATTCTGATTTTTGCATGATGCATTCCTACAGCATGTGCACACGTGTTGCTATATGTACCCACAAGGAAAGGCAAAGTCAAGATCAAGGAATGTACATTAAATTGTGGGTAGAACATTTTGAAGGCTTGAAGTGCTGATGATTTTCATTCTTTGACACTCTGAAATTGTCTGGTTCCTGAATAAGTGCTGTAACTATTATACTATCTGCACACAAGTGTAAATCTCTGATAGTTGCAATGTTTTCTGGCTCTTATTCTGATTTTTGATCCATTATATGATACAGCTGATGCTGATTTGCAGAGCTCCTAATTGCATAACTTATGTGCAAAAGAAGACAAATATAACATTTAATTTTACTTTTTAAAAAAGCTAAATAAAGTTTAGAAGTTAAGCCCAAAGTTAAATACAAAGGAATCTCTGGACTTGACTGGAATATTTTACAAGTACCCATTTTCCTTGAAGCCAAAATTAGTATTTCTGGGCCAGTTAGCATTCCAAAGGGAATCACAGGTAATGATGGACTCCAAAGTCTGGAAGCCTTGCAGTAGTGGCACAGTGTGTGTTGTGGTGCTACATTGACGCTGTGAGTGCTAGAACAACTGGGACCCTAACCTGGACCAGAATGCCTCTTTAATACCTTCTTCCTTTATAACAGGACGTCTGACTACAGCCCAGCTTCTGGACCGTGAGATTCAGGAGCACTACAGTTTGACAGTGATGGCTCTTGATGAAGGCAGCCCAGCCCTCTCTGCCACACAGGTTCTAACCATCATTGTTCTTGATGTGAATGATGAGACTCCAGTATTTCTGAAGCAACTTCATGAGGCTGCAGTTCGTGAAAACCAAGATCCAGGGGAGTTAGTCATAAAAATGGAAGCTGTGGACAGAGATACAGGTAAATTCTGTCATTTTGCTGTTGATTTCATTGTTTCTGTAGCAGACAAATCAAATCTTGCTGCCTGCTGTGCTTGTGTGTATAGACCTTGTACTTTTTCCAAGGTAATGTAAGAGTTTGAATTTCTAAATGTACCTTTTTATTCCGACCGTCAACCTTTATTCAGGGCTTGCAAGTATTCTGACTTACACGCTGGGGTATCTTCTGCTCTGACTAGTAGTATATTAAATGTGAAGTGTGTGCTTGCGTGAGGCAGAGTAACTCAGGGTACTGTTGCTGTCATGTGAAGATAACCAGTGTGTTCTGCTTACAAATCAGAAAACTGTTCAACTCAGTTAAAGTTAATATTTTAACTTTTTGTTGCTCTCAATCAGTGCATTTTGAATAGTTTTAAAGCAGAAAACTGGGTAAGGGTCCTGGTTTTGTAACAGAACCGGCAAATATGCACTAATATTTTCTGACCAGAGAGGGGCACTGTCATCCAAGATTTTCCACCTAGTTGAGCTGTGAAGCGATAGGGTGGAAGCGGCTCTGGATTTCAAATAGGATTTTCTATACGTAAGAGTGTTAATACATTGCTATTCAAACATAGGCTACCTGAGTAAGAAGGGCTGATTCATATGCTGCTTGAATCACAGGACAGGACTAAACATGAGAGAGTCCTTGCTAAGCAACAAAAATTTCCCTCCATTTCTTCAACTACAAGCTCTTTCAAAACACTTAACATGCCTATGACGTTGCAGGTAGTCTGTGTGCTGGAGAGAACCTTATTTTAAGTAATACCATGCAGAGCACACACAGTCGGTGTAAGATGAAGCAGTTGCGTAGAGTCTGCAGTAAAGATAAAGTCTGGAGAGATAATTAATTTTTACAATGCTGCTGCAATTGGCCCAAAGGTTGTCTGAACTCTGTTAAGGATTTTCTTTTTCTTGTCGGTCCAGTTTCTGCACATCTTTAGAATTGTTTAAAGTTGGGCTATCCTAGAAACAGAAAAAACAATAGTTCTTGTTAGCAAAAATATTTTGTGTATTCAGTAAGATTTTTCAATTTAATGTAGAGCACCTACTGATAACAAAAGGTTGATGCAACGTCAATAGAAGTGCTATATAGAGGAAGCATTTCCCCACAAGTATGTAAAGTATTTAGAAAATAGACATGGGTGGGTAGCCCTGTCTGTGAAAGCTGAGCAGCATTACAATCTACCTCTGTACCTCACCCTTCTAAGTATCTTTTCTATTTTGTGCATCATACTATATATATTTTTTATTTTTTTTAAAGGCAGTATTTGAAGCAAAACTTGCAAGATAATAGAGGAAATAAGTGGGAATTTGCTTAAATTCCTCTCTCTCCTTTCTGTATCCCTTGTGTTTATTGCACATCTTGTGGGAAATACAGCAGAAGGTAAATTTTGGGAACCATTAGGAGGGGGGAGCATGAGTGGCTTGGCAGAGTCGAGAGGAAGGGCATTCCAAGTGTACTGGGTGGCACAGTGCAGACACTTTGGACTGGAACAACTGTTCTGGCTAATGGTTTCTTCCTGCTTTTTTTTTTTTTAATAAAGAACATTTTCCAGTAACAACAGTCCTTCTGTTGGGTCTTTTTCTGACATTTGGATTATTTGGCCCCATATGACATGCATGTTTACAGAGTTGTTCCAAGCAAATACTAAAGTCATGCTCATAATGTAAAAAAACGGGGTTTCTATAGAAGTAGTATAAATATATAATGCTACTCACTTTTCTTACATTTTTGAAACAGAATTTTAAATAAGATAAAGTCTATCATGGTGTTACATTTTTTACATCACATTCTTAACATTATTTTTTCTTTAAATAGTTGTTCTTTAAATGGTAACATTTCCATCATGTTAGTGGAATCCTGTCACAGAAGTTATATACTTTTCCTATATTCCCTTACTGACCACAGGGAGGAATAATTTTTACTGACAATTGCAGCCATCACCAGTTTTTGTTTTGTCTTTCTACTTCATTCCCTACGAAGAGAAGAAGGAAAGCAAGCAGCTGTCACCTTATTTGTATTTGACTCAAGCTTCGAGACTGCTTCTAGTTCAAAAGGTTTTATGGGTTGTATTTTTTTTAATCAGTACTAAGATTTTTTGCTTGTAATGATTTTCTTTCATGTGGATATCCATGAAACTTCTTGTTCAGACGACTCTCTCCTGCACATAACAAGAGCTGCACTTACTGAAATTCTGTGGTGCCTCAATTTCCTTAAGTCCTTTTACACCGTGGGAGCTCTTCAGGGGCTGCTTGTGCTGCAGGGACTGAAGCTTTTCCTTGGCAGCAGCTCAGGCACCCTGCAGCCCCCCTGCCATTTGGCCAGCAGGGAAAAGGGATCCCTGCCACTCACCCGTGGCAAGGAATAGGCTTGGGTTCTCTTCCAGCTCGTAATGTACGGGAGGAATAGTTTGTATCTCATTTCAGTTTGTAATTTCAGCCCCCAAAATGTGAGTAGCACCACTGAATAATTAACCAGCCAGTTGGATCAAGTACAACCATGCCAGCTGGTGTGCCATGCTATGTGCATACACAGAGTCATCATGCTTGTCTCTTGAGCAGGGTGTGCACCGTTCTCCTACTGGTAGGTGCGTGCTCCTCGGAGCTGGATATGGGAAAGGAGGCAGTAAGTACTTGGGAAAGAAATGTGATTAAGGTGTTACATATCAGTGTACTTTAAGGGTTAGAAGTTTTAATTTCAACAGTGTGTGAACAGTCAATTTGGATAGCACCTGTATGTTTTTTCAGCACTGTCTGTGAATTATGTCCATTGTAAAATCTGCCCGTGAAGGCACTGGGTTGAAGCAGTTCGGTTGCAGGAGACCAAGAGCTAACAGTTAATGCCAGCCCTGTAGTGTCAGGGGTCTTTTTTTCCAATCTAGTTATTAAGGTTAAATAAATGCACACAAAGATGCTAATATCTTTTAAAATATAGTTAAACAATATCAAATATCATCAGATAGGATATATTGGTAACTTTCAATTTGCAAGACATTCTGTTAACTGCTGTCATTTTTCTTCTTTCTTCTGGAAGGCTGGAAGGATTGCTGTAATTCATTTTCCTTCTGCTGTATATTGTATGAGTCCCTACTTTGACTTAGTTTCGGTGCATTTATAGTAATAATTCTCTCAATCAGATTCCAGTCGCATTGTCAACTACTTAGCAAAGGTAACCAGAGGAAGTAATGGTTACTAAAAACTGTAGGCTCTGTTTAGTCTCTCACACTGGTTTTTCTCCATCAACTCCAGTGCACATTATCTGGTTTGCTACTGTGGAAGATGAGAACAGGCAGGCAGTGTTTAATTCTGAACAGCCAAGTTCAGTTTTAGTATGACTGGGAGTGCTGTGGCTTTCCAGGTGCACTAACTACCCTATACTACTAAAAGGGTAATTGTTGGTTGAAAAACCATGAAATTATTGAATAAAACTTATAAAAAATTTGCACACCTCTCCCGCTGCAAAAAAATAGAGCCATAGTACAATCCCTTCAAGTATAATGTGGGATTAAACTCGTGAGTGTGATGGAGATGACATTATAATTTCCTCAAGAGGATGTTGAAACTAGAATAAATATGAAATAAATTATTTTATAGTCATAATAGGTTAGAATGTGGAGTCACGTTTCTTGCTCAACTCTGGTGGGCAATTTTTGAATAAAGGTTTTTAAAGGCCTGTACAGTTTTATCTTACTATTTCCTAGAGAAGGAAAGGAATACTAATATCCCTGTGCTATGTACAAATGGTATGTCTAATTATGAACTGAGTTGAATTGGCATTCAGAAAAACTTTGAGGGAAGGAAAATCTTTAACTTTCCCTTTTGGAAATCCTGCCTCACTTTATAAAGCCAAGCAGTATTATTTCAGAGGTGGACAAGAAGTGGGAGCTGTCTAAAAGGCCTGAGATGTGCTGTGGAAAGGTCCACCAACTTGGCTTTTCTGTTGAAGCCAACTAGGAGATGGCTACACTATGAGTCCTGATGGGACTTAGGCAGCTGCCTGCTCTGTATTACTAATACTTAAAATTGGTGGGCATGCCAAGAAGCAGATGTTTTCTGTGAGCGCTTATACTTACTATTCAGTGTTATACTGCACTGTGTCCAAGTGAAGTTATATGGAGAATCAGAGGTCCCAGGGCAGCCCAGTACTCTGCCTTACATCCTATTGAGAAATAAATTACCTACCTCAGGGAGGGCAGAAGAAAAATGTATGGATTCCAGAGTCTAAGTTACTGCTTTTTTGAACCAAGTTGATATGCCGGTATCTCAGGTCTAAATTTTAAATGTGCATCTTTTGTGCTAATGAAGATGCAGTTACTGACTCTATTAAAAAATAAATTAATCCATAACCCATTTCCTGGGGTAGGGGGGAGAAGAAAGAGATGTATCTGTAGACCTGAATGTGAGGAGAGTGGCTGTGTTTTGCTAAGACTTCCATTCTGCTTTTAAGGACTGAATTCCTTGCTTCAGTATGAAATCTTACCAGGAGCTGGTTATGAGAAATTCAGGATGAACTCAGACAGTGGAGAAGTTGTAACAACTGCATCACTGGACAGGGAAACCCAGGAGGTTTTCATTATTAAAGGTAACAGTGTGAAATAGCTATGGGTGCCTGTAAAATGTGATGTAAGAATGGGAGTTGTGTTGCTATCAGTACTACCTGTTTTTATGCCATTTGAGTTAGATGGAAGTAGTAAGGTTTTCAGGAACAGAACAACATGTGCTTTTTTTTGTCCTGGTTTTGCATAGCATAAATAACTATTCTGATATTATTATCCATTGTTGCACCTGCGACTGTTGTATAAAATTTGCTTTCTTTTTATTGTTCTTAGTTGTGGTTCGAGATAGTGGAACCCCATCACGATCAAGCACGGTGACAGTTACCTGCAAAGTGCTGGATGAAAATGATCATTCTCCCATGTTTCTTCTTCCCATGTTTGAGATCTGTATTCCAGAGAATCAACAGTCTTCTGTTGTTTACATTATCCAGGCTGTGGATATGGATGCTGGAAATAATGGAGCTCTGAGATACAAAATAATTAGTAAGTTAAACTCCATTTTTCTTTGTATAAATCAGGAAGTATATAAACAGCACTATCCAAGTTTTAGACTAATATTGATTTTACCAAGCCTCCATAGCTCCTGTCTTCTCCACATGTTGTTTTCATGGGAGAAAAAAGAAAAAAACCACATATTTCACCCCTTTGTCAGCATTAATAAGCACTTTCCAGACATACTTTCATACTGCTTTCTGGATTTGAAATAGTACAGAAAAGAGAAACAAAAAACTACCAAATGCTGGAAGGAGTCATTAATCACAAAAGTATAATTTTGTCCTTTATGTTATAGATGGGGAAGTTCTGAATGTAAACATACCCTTGCAAATAAGGACTAGAATTAATCTAATGTTATTTATTTTATTTTATTCCTTTAATTTTCTTTCATGAGAGCTTCTTTCACTCAGCAATTAGCAATGTCTTACTTGGTTTTCATATTGCCAAACTCTTCCCATGTCCACTATGCCAATGTAAGCTCCACAGCTGTTCAAAGCCTCCTGTAATATCTTTGCACAAATACAAGTTTGCTGTGCTTGCTTTGGTTTGTGGCTCTCAGCAGTAGCTCAAATCCAGGCCCATAACTACTGCGGTAACAGCCGACAGATTTTGCTTTGATGAAGCAGTTGCAAATTCCTTTAGGTTTTCTTGCTTTTAATTTAATGATTTTTTAATGATCTTTAATTTAATTACCTTTGGTCTCTCTACATGTTATAAAGCATGTAGGCTGTTCACTGTTACTGAAAACACTGACTTTTCTTTCAACTGCTTCATATTTACCCTTGCCTCCCCACGACCCCCAAATCAAGACCTTGCACAGCTATTCGCTTCCAAGAGACAGGTTTGTAGAAGAGACAGGGAGCAAGTAATTACAATTGTCAGCAATGCTTTATAGGTTTCTGGAATTTGTAACTAGGGTTGGGAAGAGGTCACTTCATGCAGCCGCACAGTTGCAGGAGATTTTATAAGGTGTGCTGCTTCAGGAAAAAAGACATGCATCTGGAAAAATAGGCACTCTGTAAATTGATATGACATTCTCTATTTACTGTTGTTGCCACCCACTGATTTAAATGAAATGCAGGTTTTAATTCATCTCAGGAATAAAATATGCAAAAGGCACATGAGCGCGCACCAGCTGTTTGAACAATTGGACCATGTTGATGCAATTAACATAGCAGTACTCACAAGGGATCATTTTTTTCAAAAGCAATTGTTTGTGATTATTTTGTTTTCTGTGTGTTTGAAAGGTGGCAACGTTGGACAATACTTCACACTAAATAACACTTCAGGAAAGCTGCTGGTCACTCGTACCTTAGACAGAGAAGATGTCAGCAATTTCACTCTTGTAATTGAGTGCCGTGACCTAGGCAGCCCCTCAAGAAGCTCCATTGCACAGCTCTATCTAACAGTTTTGGATGAAAATGACCACCACCCGTTGTTTGCAAAGACCCACTATCAAATTTCTGTGAGAGAAGACCTAGAGGAAGGCTCAGTCATCCTGGACCTCTTTGCTTCTGACGAAGATGATGGTCTGAATGGTGAAGTTACATACTCACTCATTGACGACACCTTTGGAGCATTTGCTATCAACAATGTAACAGGGTCTATAGTTACTACAAAGACATTGGATCGGGAGACCAAATCCCAATATATGTTTAGGGCTGTGGCAAGTGACTGCAGCACCCATTTGCCAAGAAGCACCACTGTCAATGTTGTAGTGCATGTTGATGATGTCAATGACAACGATCCCCTTTTTTTTCAGAATCCTATCAGAGCCTTTGTGCATGCTGAAACCCCTGTGAATGAGATAATAGCCACTGTGAGAGCAGAGGATGTGGATCTGGGGCCAAATGGAGCAGTTGTTTTTAGTTTGATGAGAGCTGAAGCTGTATTTCAGATTGATGCAAAGACAGGTGACATCATTCTTCAGGCGCCTTTGGCTTCCAAGGACTTCAGTAACCAGCTGCTAGTGACAGCTTCAGATCAAGGTATCCCACCTCAAACAGCCACAGCTATGGTCATTATCTTTACCGAGGAACAAGAGGAGGAGATTTTGTTCAGCCATAACCTATATGAAGCAAGTGTGCTGGAGAACAGTACAGCAGGTGGGTATCAAATCCCAGTCTGTCATCTTGTGGTTGTTTGTCTACTCTCCTTTTGTAATGGTATTTTTCATGAATTTTAAAGTAGAAGTTTTTTCCTGTGCAGCAGCAGGGAAGAGTTAATTTGGATGAAGCCCTTCTCCAGTGAACCAGTGTGACACAGAAGCATGCTCTGTTAGTTGGAGGCATTGTCTGGCTCTGGAGTTTGCTGTTTATGTACAAGTGTTTCTCACGTTAAATAGAAGGCTCCTGTGTCAAAGGGGGTGTGTTGCCATCCCTCAGACTGGGAAGCCCTGAGCATCAGTGGGTTCACTTGTTTTGTAAAATTATTTTAATGATGGGTGGACAGCATTTACTCACCGTTTCACTTGTCAGCGCATGTGAGTTCAGATGAGATGAGTGTTGTGTGCCAGTGCATACATGACATTTCTTGATTTTGCCAAACTCTTCACAAACTGTAATCGATTTCAGAGATACTCTAAGACCTTACTAAAATTTGGGCTTTTCAGAAGAAGAATGGTGTGTAGGGGGGGAGCTGGTTGAGGTGGAGAGAAATTCAGAGGCTGTGGTACATTGTCACTCAGGCAGGCTTCCGCAGAGCATCGATGTAGAGCCTGTGCTAGTGAATGCTAACTATAGACAAACAGCTTAAATCATGTGGTGCTTACAGGTTGATTTATTTTTGTTCAGTATAATGATGAGAATTGCTGCTCTACTTTTTATCATTCAGAGAATGTTAGTAGTTATGCTTTCTGCCAGTTAGATATGGTATGTACCTTTTCCTGCTTCAGTGAGTAGTAGGTTCATCTTAATGAGGGCCAGAAAGGAAGGCCCTCCTTTGGAGGAGGAAGCCTTCCACATTTTTCTGCCCACAAATCCTGATGTACAACTGACCAGATGCATTTAGAGATCTGACATGAGCTATATTCTTGATTCTAACACTGCCTCATGAAGTTTGCCTTGAACAAGCCATTTATCCTCTTTATAGTTCAAATTTCCCTCAGTAAAATGAAAGCAATATTCCTTTACGGCCTAAGGGTATTGTGAGAAGCAGCCAATGTATTTGATTAGGAATCAGTAAAAAAGAAATGTGTTAATAATTTTGGAAAACCAATCAATATTCTTTGATAATTGCAAACAGAATAGAGAACTAAGGGTGAAGATGGCTGTTGTACTGCTGTGTTTACTCAGCCATTCCTTCCGCTGTGCCTATTTGAAACTACAAGCCAAATTTTCAGCAGTGTATTTTAAGATAAAGATTATGCTGTGAGTATTACTGATGTTTCAATTAACAGATCAAAAACACAATAAGGTGAAAAAACTTTTTAAAATTAAGTTACCTTTTTTTAAACCATAAGCTAAATATTATTTTTTTCAGACTGTTTCTAAAATATTGTGGTCAGTGACCAAACCACCAGGCTAGACCATCCTTCAGTCTCTCTGTCAAAAAATGTGTGAGAATTTGGAAAAGTGGAAGGCTTCCAACAGGAAAGAGTGTGGAGTGAAGCGTGCAGTAAGCTGGTAGTTAAAACACACTCGAGAAATATGAAATCTGTACATCCACATCTTCTCAGGCAGAGAAGTATTTCCCTTTCTCTCCCTCCCTACTGAACACTCTGAGTACTGAACCCATGGGATAAAAGGGCTTTTTCTAATTTTTTGAAACCAGTGCTTTATGGTTTCTATTATGTATGCAAAATAATAATAATAAAATTCCTAAATACATTTGTCCTGACAGTAAAAAGCCCGTTTATTTCCTGAATTTGACCAGGATTTAAAAGTAGTTTTGGGCACCCTAAAATTGATTATTTTTTTCTGTGATTTTTGAGTCACAGATACTCCAAGGCTTCCAGGCCCTGTTTTGCTAGAGGCTGCGCTCTACGGTAATTAATTAGTGTGTCACTTTGCAAAGGAGTCATCCCTGCGGGGGGAATTGCTGCTTCTAGAAGTTAAAGTTCAGATATCATGGGAATGTGTGTTAAACTCATTCTCTGTTGTGATCTGCCTGTTGAGAGTAAATTGTGTTGATGGATGGGGCTCTCCATCTTAGGTGCCCATAAAGTGAAGAGCTCAGGGTGTTTCCAGGGGCGTGCCCTGGGCTCTCAGTTTTGTCTCTCCCTTGCTACAACAGGCTTGTATTTTTGGAAAGTGTCATGAGAACCTAGTTTTGGGCTTCCCAGGGGAGCAAGGTGAAGGCCCTGTGGTTTCTAGTCTTTTCAGGAAGGATAGGATTAACCTGCCTTAATCCTGCATTAACGTTTCTTTCTAGTTAAGAAAAAATAGAGTGAAGATAGGTTTGTTTAGAAAACAAGTGTCTGCTTAAAGAAAGAAAAAAATTAGGATTGGATTAACTTAGCTATTGCCATAAAGCTCTGAATATTTTTTTTTTTAAGTGTAGATGGATTTGTGTGTCAGGCTAGACGATCCAGCCTGAAATTATGGAAATGCTCCGAGGAACTGAGGTATCAGAATGTCATACTCAGATTGTTCTCCCATTCTATCTATAGAAAATAGAAATAAGATTTAGTTTAAGTCATTTTGATTAAAGGAAATTTAGCAAAGCTTCAGGGTAAACAAGAGGATTTTATCCCAAAATTATAGTTTGTATGTTTAATAAAAGTCTATTTGCTAGAAAGATCAAACACTTTATAAGAGTATCAGAAATTTTACCAAATACTAATACTGTTTTGGCTGTGTAGCATTTTCTTATTTATCTAACTGTACATAAATATCAAATATTTGACATTTCAGTGGGAAAAAAAAGGCATGTTTACAATTAAAATTCTTATAGAAGTTAACTTACAGGATATATGCGATCCTGGGACCCTTACAGGTATGAATGGTACCAGTGTATTCAGTCCAGGGGAGATTTACATTACATACTGATTATTTGTAGAACTGGTATTAATAAATGTGGCTTTTCCTCCTAATTTTATTTCTGCCTTTACTAATAGAGAGGTAAAATTCTAAGTTTATTTTTAAAATAATCAAAAAATCTGAATAGTATAAACAATGAAAGCCAAAGCCAAGGGTCCTTAGTTATAATTTAGTCTATACTCATCAATTGGGTGAGTGCCTCAGGAATTAGTCCTTGTGGTCAGGTTTTCTTTAATATTTGATCTCCAAGTTTAATGACCTTCAGAAAACCCCATCCTTCTGCACTTTGTTTAATATTAAATAATTAATGTCTTTTAATATTATAAACCACATTACAACAGGCGCTTAGAAGCCAGTCAATAAATTATCAAGTCACTGTGGTCTCCAGAGGGTAAGAAATTTTAATTATTTACAAAGCTTTCATAGGAGTGGTTGTTTTCATAGCACTTGGACACAGATTCACCAGTAAAACTTGTTGACGCCACTATTTATTTTCTAATATCTGTAAAATATGTAGCCTCTTATTCTTTAAGTCATCTCTTTGTGCTCAGTTAGCTTTCTCTTTCCTGAGCAACTAAGAGGTCTCAAGAAATAATGGCAAGGAGGAACTGAGATTAGGTGACAAAGGAGCATAGTTGATTGCATAGCGTTTCAAGACATTCTGACTGCATTCTGCTGTGGTCCTGAGCTAGATTCAGTGCTGATCTCATCCTCATCATGCCATTTCAGTGTGCCTTGCAGCCAGAAAGCTACCTTTCTCTTAATTAGCTCCAGGTTAAGTGTTAAATGTTGTGATCTCTGCTTGAAGTGGTGAATCACCTATACATGAAACTGTGAGCTCCAGTGAATAGGTACTGTACTTTACTATTTACCTGTATAGGGTCCATATTTTTTTGGCAATTAACTGTAAAATATTCACTATTTGAAGGAGTCATTTTCTGTGACATGTATTGAAAGCAAAAGAAAAAGTTGTAAACCATTTCAACTGTGAAAAATATGAAACTTAAAGGATTGGAATTTGAGTACCCAGAGCAGCAATTTATTAAGCTAACCCCTGAAAAACAGGGATGCAAGTAGAAACATTGCTACAAAAAGAGGGTGTATGACCTTTGGAAGAGGGGACAGGTCACTCATGACGTCTATAAAGATGATGTGAACCTATGCAGGGTGAAAATTAGGATAGCCAGAGCACAAACTAGCTACAGCTGTTAGGGATAATAAAAAATGTTTCTGTAAGTTCATTAACAGCAAAAGGAGGATTAGAGAAAATCTCCGTCCTTTATTGGATGCAGAGGGAAATCTTAGTAACAAAGGATGAGGAGAGGGCTGAGGTGCTCAGTACCTGCTTTGCCTCAGCCTTTAGCAGTGGAACTGGCTGCTCCATGGATATGGAGCCACATGAGCTAGGAGGCAGGGAGGGGACGCAGAATGAGGTCATCATGATTAAAGAGGAAATGGTCAGAGACCTGCTGCACCACTTAGATGCACACAAGTCTATGAGACCGCATGGGCTACATCCAAGTTGGCAGACGTGATCACCAGGCCACTTTGCATTATTTACCTGAAGTCCTGGCTAACTGGGGAGGTCCCAGTGGACTGGGAGGTAGCAAATGTAACACCGATCTATAAGAGAGGCAGAAAGGAGGATCTGAGAAACTATAGACCTGTCAGTCTGACCTCAGTGCCAGGGAAGGTCATGGAGCAGATCATCTTGAGTGTTATTAGAAGACATATAGAGGACAATCAGGGGATCAGGCCCAGTCAGCATGAGTTTATGAAAGTCAGGTCCTGCCTTATGAACCTGATCTTCTATGACCTGATGATCTGACTATTGGATGAGGGAAAGGTTGTGGGTATTGTCTATATGGACCTCCAAAAAGCATTTGACACAGTTCCCCATTGAACTCTCATTAAAAAGCTGGCTGTTCATGGCCTGGATGAGCACACAACCTGTTGGGTCAAGCACTGGCTGGACAGTTGGGCCCAAAGAGTAATATGTAATAAAACAGCTAGCTGTCTGTAATGCTGCTTGAAGAGTTCAGGTTACACAGTAACCTCACTCCTTCACAGTTTCCTGGAATAAATTACAACTAAATACTTAAAATTCATTGCCATATATGCTAAACAATTTTGTGACTCACTTGAAAAGAATAATTATTTGGAAAACTTTATTATTTATAAACTTGCTGCATTTTTGTTAAATGTGATGATAGTGAGCAGGATAATATATTCAGTTCTGTATTTTCCCTCTAATCCTATTTCAAATGTTATTTTTGACAAAGAGCTATGCATGTAGTTTCGTCTTTTCATTCTCTCTCTCAAAAGCTGGCTAGTTAAAATTGTTGAGACTTAAATTTAAAATAGCATTAAAAAAATCTAAATTGAAATCAAAGAAATTAAGAAAAAATAAACTGCTTATGATAATTTAGGGGTAACATACGTTTCTGTAATGCACAAAAGAAAGACTATTTTCATTAAAATAATTAAGAGGTGAGATTTAAATGTCCAAAGAGAGCATAACCTGAATAAAAGGAACATATATGACTTCAGTTTTCAGTTACAAAAAGTTAAAATCCATAGTTTTATTTGGGCAGGTCATGAAGTTGTGATCAGATGAGTAGTTTACTGGGCAAGGAGAGATAAACATTGTCTTGGCTATGACATTGTAATGCAGTGAAAGTCATGGAGGAGGAGTTTTTGCTATTTGGTATTTTAGTTCATGAATAAGCACCTAACCTAGGAGATAGGTGTTTCACTGTGCATCTGCTATTAATCATAGTTTAAAAAAAATTAGCATAAAACCTTCTGAAGTGAACATGATGATAATATCTTATTGCTCCCATAGGTACATCACTTCTAACTGTAGAAGCTTATGAACGCACATTTACAGGAGAAAAACTAAAATACAGCATCTTCAGTGATAAGGAAAACATATTCTCCATACACCCCATTACAGGTATGTTTTTATAAATTTTTTTCCAAGTGTCTGTGTAGCTTAAAGAGTGTGTTATCTAAAATATAGCAAGTTCCTACCACAAGAACAAGGAGTAAGTATCTTTGAGTATTACTTTCCTGTTAAAATGAATAAATAATTTGCAAAACCAGGGATTTAGAGGCACCTGCACTATTGTACGCTTGATACGAAAAGAAATTGAACAGCAGTATGCCTGCTTAAAACCCTCAGTTCTGATTAACTGTTGATCACTAGGTGCTGAGCATTGATAAACTACTGTTTTCTGATCTAAGCTGAGACTCTTAACTTGTTTCTTAGAAAGAAGTTACCCAAAAACTCAATAAACATAATTCTTTAAAACACTCCTAACATAGGAAGCATTAGACCCTTGTTGAATTCAATGCACTTTGTTTCAGGCAAACCTTAACAAGTCTGAAAGTCAAGTTTATTTATTTTTTTTTAGTGATTGTATGTGTGTTTTGCAGCAGGTCTTGCTTTCACCTGCCCTTCAGTCAGGAACTTCAGATGACAGGAGAGCAGCACATTCCCCATGTCCATTATGTGCTCTCATCTGAGGCACATAGGAGAGCTATGCTGGTTGCCTCTCAGCTCCTAAACATCTGCAATAGAAGACTGCCTTCTGAGTAGCTGTGGTCTTCTGGGATGGCATGGATAGAGCAAGCAGTTTTCCTCAGGAATAGTGTAAATACCTTGTACTCTTAGCAAATTACTTTCTCCCTGGAAAAGGAGCCTCCTCTTTGAAGGTTTTTATTCTGATGTCTCCTGGCATCAAATGGGGTATTCCTGTGTTTAATGCTGATGGGCATTTTGTTTGTTTAGATGAGGGTCACTTGAAGTACATACACTTGATTTCCAAGTCCTTTTTATTTCACAGAAATAATGCTGGGAAGATTAATGAAAGGGAATTTTCAATTTTTTTATCAAGCCAAGCTGAAAAATGGTTACATGATGTTTTTCAAAGTCTCATAAGCACTCTCTTCACAAACTGTGGTGGAATTTCTATAGCAGTGGATGTCACATGTAATCTTTTGACATATTTGAGTCATTGTGGTTTCTTCAGTTTCCTTTCTTCTGAAACCTTTCTTCTCTTTCTTAGAAAACATGACCTGAACTGCAGCCTTTCAGGACTTTTTAGGAACAGTTCTTACCTCAGTATTTATTTTTACATTAGTAACTCTCTACCCATTGTTTCTATGGCAGAAGTATTTTGAGCTGTGTTGATAACCTTTCTATCTTAGATGTTGTAGAGACCCAAAGGTCTGCTCTACTTGTAATTTCAAGCACTGATCTTAATTAACCTCACTTTGGAGAAAACTTTCTCCCATTCTAGAGGAATTTATTATATTGTAGAATCATGAAAAATATAGGAGGAAGTAATCCAAAGACATGAACTAGTCTGTTCTCTGACACAGAACATTGTGCTGAAATCTGACAGAATTTTATCTGTCGTGTTCTTAAGAAGCTTCAGTGACAGCAGTTCTGCAGACCCTCTCAGTAGTCTGTACTTGGCAGTTGGAAAGTTTTTGTTCACATTTATCTGAATGTTTGCTGAAATAATTTAAACTTCTTAACCTAGTAACAAAGATATAAGACAAAGGCAAGATAGCTATAATTTGCATAGTTGAAGACTGTTACTCTTTCTTCTTTGTGTGGTCTCTCTAGAATGAGCAACTCTGATTCTTTCACTTGTTCTTCCTGGGTGGTGTACCTCAAACTTGATTATTGGCTCCACTCTACACTAGATTCTTTCCGTTAGTCTCTATCATTTTGAGTGTATTCCTTCTGCCACTATCTTGTTTTTTCTTTATACAGAACCTCATTGTTTTTAAGTGTTGTGCTGAAGAGAGCACGTGAAAGCTTTGAAATCTTGATGTTCAAGACAAAGTTCTTGAATGCTGGACAGATCCATGAACAGTCAATCATTGCTTCTTATCTTAAAACTAAATAAAAACTAAAAAGCACTAGCTTGGAGAGTCACAGGAGATGGGTTCTTATGCTCTCATGGGTTTGGGGTATATGTAGTTGTGGTGTCACTACTGAAAAATCCATGCAAAACTGAATTTGAATGCTAATGAAATTAACGTACCAATTAGCTATTTTTGCTGTTTAGTTGTGATGAAGGATTTTGAGTATATTATTATATTACCTTTGGAAACGATGAACATGGATTTCCAAGGACATTTCATATTTGGTGTGGACATGTATGGTTGTGTTTGTAATCTCAATAACTTTCACTGATTATTTTGATAGAGTAACTGTTGGGTGTGAGGCACTCGGTGCATCATCAGGAGTCAGTGTTTTACCTGTATGTCAGTCAGACATGGAAATTGGTGCAGCTCTTGCCCAATTTGCCTTCACAGATGGAGGGCTAGATATAGCCATCTCAGATTAGAGCCAAGTCCCTCCAGACGTAGCTGGCTCACTGTCATGTGTGAAGGAGCACGTCACACAGCCACTTTCTTCCTCTCTATCCCTCTACTAGTGACTTGGCTTTGTTTTAGGAAATTGCCAGTGTGGTGGTTGATCAGTGAAAACTTAGCAGCCCAAGATTTGTGCAGTAACTGACACTTGAGGAGTGATGTTAAGTGGAGGATGGTGAGGAGCTTGCTGGAATTCTGTATTCAATGAAGGAGACCATATATGTTAGGGACTTCATAACTGCATTTGTGTGCATATTGTCCTGTATAAATGTCACATCTTGATGATTCTTTTTTTCTTATTTTAATAAACCAGGTGCTATCACAGTAAAAGAGCCAAAGTTTCTTGATTATGAAGTTAAGAATAAAATACATCTTTCAGTTTTGGCTGAAAACAGCTTGAATTCAGCACTCTGTGGAGTCACAGTTTTGATACAAGATGTGAATGACAATGTACCTAAATTTCAGCAAAACTATTACAAAGCATCAGTATGGGAAGGCCAAAATCCAAAAAAAGATATCATACAGGTAAGTGGGAATACGTCTTCCCAAACCTAGTGCTGTAGTTAAAAAGAACTTTGGTTGATCTTTTAACGACTACAATCCTGCTAGGTCTGTTCTGGACCACTGTCTCATAAAAACTGCTTGGTGTTGCTAATATTTTGCTTCAATATCTAAAACAGTGACTTTTTTTTTTCCCTCAATTCAAATCTTTCATTTGGCTTTACGAAGTTGAAAGAGAATTATCTCTATTCTTAATAGTTGTGCAGCTGGGTTGTCAAGTTTTTGTTGTTTTTGGTTACATTGTTTTCTGTTTCTTCAAGTAGTTGAAAAATACAATTCAAAGCTGTGGTTCTGGTTACACTATAGGCCGGGTCTTGCATTAATGCATCTGCTCAAAGGGCTATAGCAATAAAAATAATACTTTCAACTCATCAAACTAGTAGAGTCTAACCCAAGTGTTCAATTTAAAATCTGATGCCTGAAGAGCAGCTTGTCTCAATTTAAATGTGCAAACACTTCTTGCTCTGAATGGATCCATTTTCTGAAAGTGTTTCCAGCTGGCCATTCTAGAGCAAAAGAAGACATCAGTTGGACTGGAAGAACGCATAATTTCCTCAGTACATGTTCTTGCATTGCAAGTCAGGTAACAGTGAGGGTCATGTTAGGTACTACAGATATTCCTCCCCTAGAGAATAAATAAATGGAAAGCTACAAATGCCTCCAGGCCAAAGTGATTAGAAACTGATGGACGTTGTATTTAGAGAAACATATGTCCAGGAATGGAGAAAAATTAAAAGGCAGTCAACCCAGATGTGTAGTCAAATTTTTATGACAGAATACATTCTGTTATGTTCCTTTTATTCAATCTGAATGTTTGCATCTCATACTCATTATAATGTTTATTCAGCAACCAGAAAAATACAAAGATGGTTCTTCAAAGAGTCAGAAAAGTCTTTGAGAAACCTGCTCAGTGCTATTGAATGTTTTTTATTCTGTTGATTTTACATCCTGCCTCTATCCTTTTTACATTTTGTGGTTCTTATTTGAAAAAGTAATTAATGAACTAAGCTATGAAAGCTCTAATAATTTAATTATTTTATTTCTATAGCAGTAATAATTCAAGGGCCATTCTCAAACCCCTGAGAAACTGCATATTTATGCACTAAAGAGACACAGCATTCTAACAGCAACCTTACAGTACTATAAGCAGTGTAGAAGTATTACATTCAGCTCTAGCATCTCATGTAGCTGAATTTCAGATTACTCAGGGAGATAATTCATGTGCATCCTATTGCAATTCATGATCAGGTTTTGTGACCTCACGTGACACTGATGTTGGCGACCAATATGATTATTTGCTTAAATCTGTGTGGTTGAAAGGAAAGTAGCTAGAAATAGGTGACTGTAATATAAGGTTTTTCTTCTGAAGTCTCAATCTGCTGTTTAGAATTAAGTCTCAGTTTTGCTCCCAAACAGGTATTTGCAACTGACCTTGACAGTGGGCTGAATGGAGAAACTGAATACTCAATTTTATCTGGTGATGAAAATGCAATGTTTATAATTGACTCAGCACGAGGGGTTTTAGCAACTAATACGGTCCTAGACCATGAAAAAACTTCATCTTACAGGTTTGTATGCAAGGTTCTTGTAAAAATATATTCTTCTTTTTCTTCACTTTAGCTTGAGATTGCTCATGTTATGTATTTTGTAATTTTGTGTTGATATTCATTACCAGCAGAGCCTGGGTGCCAGCCAGGCAGCACTGAGAACAGTACTAAAGCTGCCCATTTTGTATCATACATTCTCGTGTACTCCTCAAATTTAGCAGAAGAAGTAAAGTCTTGTTTAATCATTTGCAACACTTACTGATATGTGAGTGTGATGACTGACTATGGGAATCATGACACACTGGATTTTTGTTTAAGAACTGTACAGCAATTTCCTCTCTGGAAATATATTTTATTAAAATGTAAAGAGACAGAGCCAAATTCAGGAAAAAGGGGTGTAATCTGTTCTTTAATTAGCATATAGTTCAAAATTTCTTCTCCACAACCTGATAAAGATACTTCTGTAAGCTGTTTCCATCTGTAAGCAATCTTGTACTAAGTATTAGTTTTTCTTGTTTTCCAAGAAACTAGGAATAAATATGATCAAGTGGACATGACATTTTTTATTTATAGGTCAGGCCATAATTGGAATTAGAAAGCAAATAAATTATGCCTTGAAGAGAAAATACGATTAAGTGAATTCATCAGTACACTCTTTTTATGTACTGCAATCTCTACAAAAAAGTAGATTTCTTTGTGTCAGTAGAAATAACATTTTTTTTCCATATGGTTGTGGCATCAGTTAAAATATTTGCAAGTTTTCTTGTCATCTAGGGCCTTAAAGTTGTAAACATCCAATCAGAATTCTTATAAACCAAAATAACCTTCAGAAAACCACATCAAAGAGATCAACAGAATATAATTTTTTAAATATCAGTGTAATTTGATAATAGTGTCCTAAAGGAAATACTTTTTTTTAACTTAATATACAGAACACTTCATTTGGAGTTTATTTTTTGGTTTTTCACTGAATTAAAAACATCAGTTCTGATTTTTAGTAATTTAAAGAGCGTAATGCTTTTTTTTTTTTTTTAACTAGTACTTTAAGAGGATGCCTGAAATAAATCCTTTGAAGAAAGGACGTTTACAGTTGATGAAGCACTAATAATTCTCCTATCTGTCTTTAACTGTGAGCCTCATTTATTTCAGTTTTTATGCTGGAATTCTAGCCTTTTAAATTTACTGGGTTTTTCTGAAGAACCTGAAGCTTCATTTTCCTTATATTTATTAATATGTTATTAATCTGTACATTGTAAGGTGAAGAGTGAATAACAAAAGAAGCTTTCAAAACTGTTTTCCTGTTTAATTTCAAGATTTTACAATTGGTTCTTTTGAATTTGCAAGGAATTGTTTATTTTATATAAATTGATTGTTTTCATCCCCAGAAGTTCCAAGTCTCTTATAATAGGAGTTAAAATGAAAATGTTGACAGAACCGTAATTCCTTGGCTGAGATGTTTTTATGAGAGGTTTTTTCCTGAAACCTTAGAAAGTGATTATTTTTAGTAAAATATTTCCATGTGTATACCTTACCAATACTAATTCTAGAAAAAATACACTTTCTGCATGGAATTATACATGCTCACCCATTGAATACCAGCCCACAATTCGTTGTGTTATGTTGGTGTCAGAAACCACAACAGCCAGAGCAGAGCTGGTGTGGTTCAGGAATGGAAGTGCTGCAATCCACTGCTTTACTTACATCCTTGGTATTCCATATTGTCGTGTGAAATTTAGGAAGTAATACCCATTTGACACTTTCAACAGAAACTATGACTTAAAAGAAAGAGGGAGAAATAAAGCATTCAGAAGCTCTGCAGTGACACCCAGGAAGCATGATGTGACATGCAGCAGTTGTTAGTACACAAAACATCTAATTGAGATGCCAGGCTCTGACTTGTGTATCTTTTTGCATTGCTTGATGTTTGGGGTTTTTTTGGTCTATTCCTTTTCTTTTTCTCTTTCTTTTTTTTTTTTCTTCTTTTTTAAGAGCACCTGTTGAGTTAGATTTAGTTTTTGTTTCCTTTCTGGTTATCTTTTAATACTAGGAAGTGGTGAAGCCTTCTAAATAATCTTTGTTACAATAAACATTTTTTCTTTTTTGTTCAGAAGCTAGTTCCCACAGTGAGTAAACATATTTTTATCCATCTTTATCACATCATTACTTAACATTTTCTTTGCTAAATTGTTTGTGGAAGGCTGTTAGCAGATTCTACTACCCATAATCATGCAGGTACAAGATGGAAGCATGCAGGCAGACTCTCTTAATCTGACAGATTCTGGTTCCACTAAGATCAGTGGGAACTCTGCCATTGTCAAATGGTGAACATATTCAGGTTTTTCACTTGGTCTCTTTAATTTATAATAGGGGGCTATTCTAGATCTCTGCAGACATTTTGGCTGAATTTCACATTCCTGTTGTCCCTTTATAAACAATGAGGAGAGTCAAGTTCCTCCAAAGAACAATTTACTGCTTAAGTTTTAATTCCTGCTCTGAATTAACAGCTGGAGAAATGTGTCTGATTTGGAAAAGTCTTGCTAGCCTCTTTATCACCTACATTTGGTATGAAATTGAGTAAAATTAATACGGTTTAATACTTCTTTCTTTTTGTATGGTTTTGTTATGTTTTTGCCACCTAGTCCCCTGAACATTTTTCCTGCAAGACACACAAAAACCTCCTCCAGGCACTTAACCTTACAGAAAGAAAAACAGAATTTAAGAGTTGTGTTAAAGGAGCAGGAAGAGCTAATCTTTTAGCTTGTAATTTTTGCTCTGCTTATAACATTGGTGGATAATGTGGTGATTTCTGATTAATAGTGACAATTACTTCTTCCTTTAATTGTAGGTTGGTTATACAAGCTGCTGATAAAGGAAACCCCAGACTTTCTGCTACAACTATTGTGATGATACAAGTGTTAGATGTTAACGACAATATTCCAGCTGTCGCACCACTAGGTGAAGTGGAGGTCCCAGAAAGTAAGTGTGATAATATAGCTAAGCTGGGATTTGTCAGACAACGATAGTGCTTCTGGAGATTTGTATAACCAAGGAACTCTAGTAAAAAAGAAAATTATTACTATTAATACTGAAATATCAAAGTAAATTGTGATCTGCTTTTGTACTCAGAGGCATTATTCTCAATCTTTAGACATTGTGTTTAAGAATAGTTTGGAACAAAACCATAGGCAATTCAGAAAGAGGAAAACAAACTCTGCAGAAATACATCTGTAATCTGTTCATTTTGGACTCCAGTATCATATTCTTCAGATGTCTTCAATTTCTGCTTTTATTCAATAAAAATAGTTGGTGTTAAAACCAGTGTTGCTGGAAAGGAGACATTCTGAACTTTGTTGTGATTAAATAATTTATGTAAACTTTATTTAAGCTTTTAAATGCTCTATAGCTTGATCCAGTTGATGATCATGAAGAACAGGACCCAAGAACTCCTGAGTTCTCATCCCAGCATACATCTAATGTGTTGTATTGCTACCTTAAGATTTGCAGACCTTGGCCCCAGCATTTTCAAATACAGGCACCATACCTGTAATGCATTAAGTTACACAGCAGAAACATTTCAAAGATTTAGGTGCTGAAACTCCAGTACTCCTCTTAACAAAAGATATCAAGGCGGTCATTCTAGTGATACTCTTTAGCCTTTCCTGAATTTAGCTTCCACTGATAATGATAACTATGGAAGTCATGGGTAAACAGCAGTTGTAGACTATTGCCTTCTTATTTAGGTTTTTGTATTCCATTTCAGAAACTTTCTTTAGGATATTGCACAGCATTTTTAAGGCTTAATGCCCTGGACATAGAAATGGGAAATGATTTTGTTTCTGTTAGCTCCAGGCTTTGTTACATGATCGCTAATAAGTTCAGTTTGCAATCCCTGGTACTGTCAATTTGGCACATAACAAAATCTATCTGTATCCAGTTCCTCAGTCTCCTAGGAATATACTTTGAGCTTTTAAGATTTTTGTGCCATGTAGGTCTGGCTAGAGGTCTTGTTCCTCTCTAGTGGCCTTCTCCATCTTCTGAAACCCTTCAGAATTGCATTTGCTGGTTGTACACAGACCTGAGGACTCTAATACCTCAGTTAAATATTCTTTTGGAAGCTTGTAACACTGTTCAATAAATTAATGTCACGTAAATGCTTGTGGAAAATCATGGAAGTTCCTATTGCTGGTGAAGAAACAGTTACAGCTACACTGGGTCTGGGAAAGTCAGTCTGAAGAAAACCTGAATTAAAATTGAGATAAAGCAGATGCATTTGAAGAAATCCACTACTGTTTCTGTAGCATTTCTTGATATTGCACTTATTCTAAAACACAAAGTCAAAATACACTAAAAAATAATACAGAAGGTATGAACTTTGGATTCAGTATTACAAAATTGGCAAAATCCTCAAAAATTGTAGTATCATCTTTCAGCTATGACTTATTCTGAACATTTTTATTTCAGATGCCCTGCCTGGTTTTATAGTGACTCAGGTGTCAGCAAGTGATGCGGACTCCAGGCCAGCACTTCAGTTTGGTTTTGTTTATGACAGAAGTCCTGGAATGAAATTCACCATCGATCAACACAGCGGTGTAATCACAGTGGTGGAACCATTAGATTTTGAAGAAACTGCTGTATATAACCTGACAGTCACAGTTTCTGATTCTGTACATCAAACAGAAGCAGAACTCACCATCCTTGTTTTGGACATCAATGACAACCCACCAGTGTTTACTCAGGATTTGTACCAGGTGAGGATGTGTGGCAAATGGACAACAAACATTTGATGTCTTTCTGTATATGTTAATAAGTAATAGGAGTGTTTGTTTATATTTGTCATAAACATTTGTGCACTGAGAAGTCTCAGAAAACTGTTATGGACCAGAAACAGAGCAGAGCTCTTCTGGGAAACAGAGAGCAGCTCTCTTCTGAGCTCAACCCCTTCCTAGGAATTCTGCTAAAAGAACTGAGGGGATTGTTCAGTTTTCATGTTTGTGGGTTTTGACTTCAGAAGGAAAGTGGTGTGAATGCTAAATGTGTTCCATACACCATCCATTTGTCACTGGGAGTCAGTGGGTATAATCCAAAACACTTTGGGGAGATGGTTCCACTGTTCTGAACTTCCTTCTGGGAGAATGGTAAACCATTTGGTACATTTCCTTGGGCCCTAGTACTGCAGTATGAATTTCTTCCTTTTCAGTTAGGCATTTCCACAGCAGTGTGGCAAATGCCCCTGTGGAAGATAGTACACATGTAGTTTGTAATGTGTAACCCTGCCTTATAGCAATGGTATTCATCTCGAGAGTGAGGGGTATGAGTTTTGACCTCCCCAACATCCCCTGCAAGACTGAGGGAGGGTACAGAGCTCAACTTTTGGACTTCTGGACAAGAATTTTAACTGTTAGACTGTTGTAGAAGCTCAGGTTGTCCAACAGTGTTTTGAAATAAAGCTCTTTTAGCAACTAAGAATAACTAGGGGCCACTAAGATAATGAAAGGAGAGCATATATAGAACAGAATAGAATAGAATAGAATAGGACTACTACAGTTGGAAGTGACCTACAGTGATCATCTAGTCCAACTGCCTGACCGGTTCAAGGCCGACCAAGTTAGAGGATGTGTCCAAGGGCATTGTCCAAGAAGAAAATGAGTAGGTAGAAACTTTTCCAATGCTAGGAACTATGTTTGTTTTTTTCTAACAAGATCAAGTGAATAAAAACGTATTTTTTAATGTTCAAAATAATTTATTAAGCTCTACCAAACTTTAATTTTGGTTTTTATGTCAGGTGAGCTTGCCAGAGCTCATTTCTGTGAATGCCACCATTCTAACAGTCTCTGCTGTGGATAAGGATTCGCAACAAAATGGAATGATTTCCTACAAAATGCTCTCTTCCTCTGAGGAATTTTCCATTGATCCCAGGAATGGTGAGTCTGTAGGTGTGGTTTATTGTTTCAGCTTTTTTGGGGTAAAATTTCCTCCACAATTTTCTCCAGTGTGGGTCCTTCCCACAGGCTGCAGCTCTTCATGAAGCTTGGCCAGTGGCATCCCACTCCGCAGGCCTGTAAACTGTGCCATTCAGCCTGGTGTCATATTCAGATTTGCTGAAGGTGCACTCAATCCCACTGTCTGTGTCACTGATGAAGATATTAAGCAGTACTGGTCCCAGTACGGACCACTGAGGGACACCACTTGTCACTGATCTCTATCCAGATACTGAGCCATTGGCCCACGACTCTCTTGATGCAAGAGAGTTACTTTATGGTGTGCAGTCATTTCAGTTGAGTCATTTTCAAGTATGACTTTAGATTCAGCTTTTGGAATCACATTTACTTGCCTAGTGAATATGAAGTATGGGCTTTTGTTAATTCTGTTTTATTTTCAGGTTCGGTGTTTGCTACAGGACCAGTTACACAGCTGGAAAAGACTTCTGTTCTCCAGCTCTTGATAGAAGCCACAGACGGGGGCTGTCCCACTCTGACTGCAGTTACCTCCATAGAGGTGCATGTAGAAGATGTAAATAACTATGCCCCTCAGTTCACAAGGGTTCTGTACAATCTCAGTGTGAGCGAGGATGCCTCAGTTGGAGAGAAAATACTCACATTTTCAGCCATTGACTATGATTGGACACATGAAAACATGTATGTCGAGTACTCTATTATTGACGGCAATGCTGAGAATTTATTCTCTGTGGAAACAAGCATCATGGAGTCAGAAACATCCTACAAACTTGTTGGCAGTCTTGTTTTGAGCGATGTTCTCGACAGGGAAACTGCTTCTGCTCACCATTTGGTCCTCCTTGCCTCTGGTCATGGAACACCCTCCTTGAATTCAACAGCTACTGTGCTAATAACTGTGCTGGATATTAACGATAATCCCCCAGTATTTAGCAGCCCAGAGTATCACGTTCATGTCAGAGAAAGCATCCCTGTAGGTAGTCACATCACTGAAGTTTCAGCAAACGACTGTGATGCAGGCCCTAACGCAGAGATCACTTATGCTATCATCTCTGGAAATGACGAGGGACACTTTCACTTGGATGGGAAAACTGGAACAGTGGATTTGATGAAAACACTGGATTATGAGGACACCATGAAATTCACTTTGGTCATCCAAGCCATAGATGGAGGAGCTGATGTAAAAAATGTGGCTTTTTCTGTTGTTCTTATTAGCATCCTAGATGACAACGATTATGCCCCGCTGTTTTTGTTTCCCACGCTGAGCTGCATTGTCAGTGAAAATCTGCCTACCTTTTCTTTTGTGTGTGCTGTTAATGCCCTGGATTTTGATAAAGGCTCCTATGGACACCTTACCTACTCCATCCAGTCTTCGTGTTTGGCCCATCGTGAAGCTCCTAGAGACCATGACATGTTCTTCATTGATCCTTTGGCAGGAGATATTCATACAAAGCAAATGTTTGACTATGAAAGTCAGAATAGGTACTGCCTCATAATCCAAGCAAAAGACAAAGGTGATTCACTGGCTACCATTACAGTTCAGGTAGATATTGAGGGGAGAGATGAATTTGACCCAGTGTTTACACAAGATCAATATTTCTTTAATCTCCCTGAGAAGAATGAAGCAGGGCAGTTGCTTGGCAGGGTGACAGCATCAGACAGTGATGGTGGACTGGATGGAGTTGTTCATTACTCCCTGCTAAAAACTTCTCCATTCTTCTCCGTGAGTCAAACCAGCGGTTATATTTATTTAACTCAGACTGTTCACAGAAAGAAAAATGGCAGCAAAAGGAATGATGATTACCTGGAATTGTTGGTGAGAGCTCATAGCCCCAGAATTGAGTCAAAGTTTACAGTATGTACCGTTTTGGTAAATGTTTCCAGTTCTTCTGAGAGTTATCCCATAGTGTCAGCGTACAGCCTGACCATTAGCATTTCGGTCTCTGCAATAGTGTTCCTGTTGCTTGCAGTCAGTCTTATTGCTGTTATTCTGAGGCATAAGTGGAAAGATCTGATGAACTTTTGTGTTACAAAGGAAGCAGTATCTTTCTCAGCTACTGATGTGAATTCAGCCAGTGAAGATGATGGCTGCCGGAAAATCCAAAGTACTGAGAGCAGTATGCTTCCCATGGGTGTCATAGCAGAATGGCTGAGCCTAGAAGGAATCCAAGAAGGGAAGGATGATCATGTCCCCTGCAGACATTCAGACTCCAGTGGCCATGGTTCTGCCGAAGGAGAAACTGCAGAGGATGAGGAAATCAAAATGATCAATGAGCATCCTTGCAGGAAGAGCTCTGGCTCAGTACTGAGCGAGTGCAGCTCACGGGTGCCAGATTCAGGGATCCCAAGAGAGTCTGATCAGCTGTCCTACCACTCTGGAGAAACTGATGTTGTGGCTAACACACAGAGCATGGAGAGTGTGCAGGCCATTAAAGGAGCAGGCAGAGAAGAAGCCTGTCACACAGCCTATACACATAAAATGTTGTCTCAAGCACTTAGGAAAATTGGAATAAAAGAGAAAGACATGATGACAGACCTCACAAGAGACTGTGACTTCATGTCAGATGGGCAGGACTCTGGATGTAATTCGCTTGCAACTCTTAGCACCTCTGATGAGGAACTCAGAGTTGGTTATAACTGTGATTATGTACTCAGCTGGGAACCCAGATTTCAGCCTCTTGCCTCAGTGTTTAATGATATTGCAAAACTAGAAGATGAAAATGTACACATTCATAGCTTCCCTAAGGAGAAGAAATCTCAGGTTTTCCCTCCTCCCTTGATAACATCAGTAGCCCAGCCTGGCATAAGGACAGTGCTACCACAAATGCCAAATACAGTATCAGGGCAAGCATTTAAAATTTTCCCTCGTTCTCCCCTTATCCATAATTTTGGATACCCTCCACCAACAATGACCCCCAGTTTTTCTCCTTCTCTCTCTTTACTTACCAGGCAGATGCCTACTGCTTCTCCAGTAATGTCTGATGGGAAGATGGTAGGAACATTTCTTATTGATCCAAACCATGAACTTGCAACAGAGGAAGAAATTCAGGTCTAGGTTATTAGTGTATGGTAAAAAATATGGCTTAAAATATATTTTATTATTGTTTAACAAACAAAATATGCCTGTCAGAACCGTATCACCATTATTATTTCTGTTTCATGAGCTGAAAAAGTTAAAATATAAAACATCCACAAACTTGGTAACTATCCATCTTTTTCTTCCCAGAATACACTGTGAGGATTCTCTTCTTTCAGCTCCTACCAATTGTGGTCACATAGCCAGGTGCCTGATAATGAACGTGACCAATTTTACCATCTTTCTCATAAAATATGTCAATAACAAATAAATTGTAGTAATTCTTTATAGTGGAAAAAGTTTATTAGTATGCTGGTGTGTTAGCATGCTTCTGTTGTGATATTAGAAGAGGTTACCAGAGGGATGTGTAAGTACAGCAGGACTGGAGGGGGTCAAAGAACAAAGCATGGATTCCTACTGAGCGCTTTCTTGAGTGTTTACCCAGCCCCTGGGTCCAAAGAACTTGTTTGGCCTGGTGCAGTTTCATCACCTGCCTTGGCCCCCCAGCAGGCTTTAGTAGCTCTCTTTGTGCTGTGGAAGTTTAGCAGTTTCTGTGCATTTTTTATTATTTTTTTTTTAATCTCCATGTGTAAAACTAGCAAGTCATTATTATCTGAATAATAATGGATCAGCCTTAGAAGAGAGAATAGGTAATGGTAAGATAAAAGTAACCATCTTCTCTATTATCAGATCTAAATATTTGCCTAGTATCTTTCTGTCCTATTACAGCAGCTTTTCTCTCCCCAGGCGGATGGTGGAACAGACAGTGTTACAGTTTTGAAGGGCTTGTGTGCCTCCATCCTGGTCTTTGGTCTTGTTCTGGGCCTGCCTCTGCAAAACCAGATAATCTGGCCTTGTTTGTTGTACGTATCATACACCTGGCATTTTGTGTATGTATGTATATCCAGACACATACACACACCTGTACTGCTGTGTATGCTTGTATATTGTATCAGATCAATAAAATACACAGAAAACACACCTAGAATAACTCTTGGTTTCTCTTCATTGTATATTTAAAAGTCTTTTGCATCATGTGTATAAAAACTGGGCAATAGGGAAGGATCTAATTGGTGCCTGGGAATCTGTTGAATGTGTACAGAGGTATATATTATGCAGGTCATAACAGATGGAGGAAAAGCATATGCAGTGTGGTTTAACTGAGAGATCTTGTGGAATCAGAATCATGTGTGTGGTGGCTTTTGTTAATTGGTCGTACATGTCAAGATTTGTGGCCTGTGAGTTCATAACCTGTCTTCAAATAAGATTCTGCACTGTACTGTTACGCACTGTGCCATCCATGCTGCTATGCAAGAGTGCTTCTTTTAAAGCTGGCATTTGTTCTTTGTATTGCTGTGGAGTATGAAATGAGACATAGCTCAGGACTTCATTGGGGTAGACAAATGTTACTAAGAAAGGAGACAGGGTGGCAAGTTTTATAGTTAGACAAAAACCTGTGGCCAGGAAGAGGAAAGCAAAGAAGGGGAGCCATACCCAGTTCTTATACAGAGTATCAGTTAAAGGCCATTATTTCAGAATTAATATTATTCTCTACGTGATAACATTATGCTATCTACAGCCTGTTTGGTTTTGACTTAGATGTCTTACGTTGTGAAATAATTTCTATTAGAATGAAAGGTATTCCTTGTTGTGTTTAGTTCCGTGCAGTTATTGTTTCAGGGACACATGGAACACAGAACTACCTTTCCTATAGTCAGAAACTTAGCAAATCTGATTTTAGTTTTAGCTGGTAATGGTCAAGTTGCAGCTATTGCTCTGATGAATAATGAGCATTTGCTGTCCTGAGAGGTGTCATCTTTCCAACAGGTGATCAGTGGAAAAGAAACACTTTACAAGGCAAAACTGTGTTTGATATTGCACATTGATGGGTAGAAAGTAGTAGCTGGGGCCTCATTTCTTTGATAGAGTCTAGGCTAATGGATGAGTAGCTTTTTCTTCAGTAATATTACGGTTGCAAATGAAATACTATTAGCATTAAAAAACATTTGACAACATTCAGCTGTCATATTTAGCACAACATCTAGACCTCACCATGCTGTGTGTGCCCATTTCCTATAGTTCTGCTTGAAAAGTGAGAAAACCTTTTTTCTGTGTGCCCTTTTTGCCGCTTTAAATGCAACTTGTTTTTAGCACCTTTTCTGAAAAGAGTAGATATGATTTCCATTCTATTTATCAAGTGCACAAAATAACCAATGCATACTTTGTACTCCTCTTCAGTGTTAGTGCAGTCTTGTCCTTATGTCTTTGCTCATTCTGTACCAAATGGAAAACAACACAACTGGTATATATTTTTTTTTTTCATATATAGTCAAGCTTTAAAATGTGACCATTGAAACAAGTGTCTGCAATAAATAATGTGTAATGCTTTTAACCTCACTATTTGTTTGGGTTTTTTCCCCTAGGTAAACAGTGTATCTTCTATAATTTACCATGACTTTAATATTAACTTGCCTTTAAGAGACTGTGTTACTTTGCAATTCTGCACACCAATTTTAGCACTTTGGAGAAGGTACAGAACTTGTTAGTGGAAAATCATATTAAGCTCAAAATGCATAAGCTATAAAATAAAAGACAGTTGTCTCTTCTGGAATTTTGGCTGCCTGCCTTCTGGATTTACTTGTTGGCAGCCTTGAAAACACTGGTGTAAATCACTACCAAATGGATATCAAAATTCCATCTACCAGTAGTGATCATCAAATTGACGTTGAAGCAGATTCCTGTATGAAGAGGAAAAATCTTCATATTTTTAGGGAATCCATACTTTGCAGATGAAAAAAAATCATAAACCTCTTTTATAAAATTATACTAAAATCACTAGCTACCTACATAAGTCCATATTTAGTTGGTATTTGATCTTCAGCTGAAGACAGGAATTGTTCCTAAAGCAGTTTTAGATAAACATAGTTCTGATAAAAATGAACCCTCCTTACTAAAATCTATTGTGCTGCCAATTCCTATGATCCAATGATGATGATTCCTATGATATGCAGTTGCCATCACTTCTCTGCTGTTTGTCACTTGCTTTCTTTAACTGCTTCCTGAAGGCCTATGTCCAACTCTTCTCTTTAGGAGACCTATACACCAGAAAACGTTGCCCTGACAAAAAATGTTACTAGAACATCACCTAGCACTAGACTGATGATTGTGCCCATATGGCTTTATACTTCTACAGCTCATGTAGTCAAAAGCCAATTGGCAATTCAGTTGGCCATCACAGACCTGTGGGGCCACTGGGATTAGACTTCCTCCCAGTTCGTGCTGACTACCTTGCTCCTTGAAAACTGGTTCCCTGGGGATGAAGGGCACAGAATAATACTTGCAGGCAGGGAACTGGCACTGGTTGGCTGAGAATGGAAGGTCGTGTTCCTGAAAATCTTGTAAGAACTCTAATTAGAATAGGAGGTAGTTGTGACTTTGTAATTGGATATACTGTGGTGGGAGTTTTATATTTAGAATTTGGTTTCCTTTGCAGCTTCTTGTTCTTAGTATCGGACACAACAGAACCAACTTGCTGTGGCAGTAGGTAGCTTAGTTCCCTGGGGATGATCTGGTTGGAATAACTAAGGTGTTGCTGAATCAGCTCAAGTATACTTTAGGGTGTTGCATAGCTGCTAGCTCTGGTAGCTGTTGGCTAGCATGGATACAAACCTGATGTTCAGTCTGTGCATGGATTTGGATGTTCAGATCTCATTAAAAAGAACTGCAGTCTGGCATCCAAATCCTCTTGTTGGCTTTGAAATTTCCATCATAAATACATGCAACATTTTTTAAACATTGGGAAAACTGTGGATGCCTAGGCAAAAGAAAATAGGACTTATATAAGGAAATACTGAGGATCTAAAACCTTCTGATTTAGACTTGCACTTTACATTGTTGGTAGGGCTATTCCTCATAAAATGTCAGCTGCTTTTCTAATAAAATGCATAAAATGTAATAGAAGAGCATCTGTAAGGAATACAGAGGGGCATCAGGGTAGGCTAGAATTGCAAAAAGGTTCTGTTTCTTGACACACGAGTTACTTGAACAATGTATAAAATAGCAGATCCTTTAGCTGATAGTCAGAAAAATCAAAATTGCTGCCCTATTAACTTATAAATGTTTCACTGATTCAAACAAGTCATGCTAGATAAAGAATTCGATGCCAAACTACATGCCTTAAAATGCAGATGTCATGGTAAAAGACTAAAGTGATCCACCATGGTTTTCAAAATGACAGTTGAAATTCTCATTACAATTAGAAGACACATTTATTGACTTTTATGTTCAAAACAAAGTCTTGCCACACCACAAACTACACTTAAAGGTGTCAGCCATGTCCATGTCACCATATCCACTTGAAAATAATCTTACATTTCACACTTTTTTTTGAAGCTTAGAGTATTTAACACAATCCAGGTCATCTTCCCTAAAGCAGCATTTTAACTGCCTATGAAAAGCTTTGAGGAAACTCAGGCAATGGAAGTTGAGCTGTTGATTTTGAGAGCTGGTCAGCCAACAGTAGCTTTTATGTAAGGGTGACATTTGAGAATGGTTGGGGCTAGATGATGCCCACTCACTAGCCCAACCTGGAGGAGTACCTTGCTGTTACTTATATGCCTACAGTGTTTATTTCAAAACTTTAAAGTGGAAAATTCAAAAGAGTTTCTAAAATGGTCTTATTGGTGCCACAATGAAAAGAAATGTCAAGCTTGCTTGTGTTGACCTCAGAAATTCCAGTCAAGCACTGTCTAGCTGGGTGTAGACTCGTTTCTAGCATCTCACTTTTTAAAAAAACTGTAAGGCTCATTTAATTTCAAAATACCTGAATATAGTGGGTTCCGATCCAACACCCCAGGACTTCTCCCACTGATTTCAGTGGGGCTTGAATAAAAAATGCACCTGGAAGAAATGGACAACATATGTGCCTCCCTGGTACTGTAACAAGAGTCCCTGGCAGCAGAAAGCTGGCTCCCTGGGGT